ATAATAAAAATCTCAAGTAACCTCAATCTTTACTCTCAGATTATGTGCTGTCAATTTGGGAAGGGTACACTGATCATACAAAAGAAGGCACTGCTCTCAGTGAAAAACTGAACCCACCTTTGCTATCAAGGTTGCTATATAATAATTTTTTTTTGTCATACAGATTCTTAGATAACTAAATATTAGCCATGTGAGCTATTTAATTTCTGTAGTTTCCTTTAACTGAGAACTTCACTGCTTTTGTCACTTTGTGGCACAACCTTAATTGCCATTCTTTTCTAGGATTCACCTTTTTGTTCTCTACAGCATTCAAAAGAAGCAGAGATAATTTCAATCTAAAGTAAATTAAGTATTATTTTAATATGAGCTTCTGGTGGGGTTTTTTAAAACCGTACTTAACAGCCTCATTCCTCATAAAAGTGCATGAGAGCTGACAAGACAGACTACTCATAAAAATGTCAAGTGTCTCTAAGTCTGCATGATGTAATATAACCTACAGAGTATGCCTTGCATTTGCAAGAAGAAGCTATAAAAGGTGAAATTCTCTGTGGAATATTTGCATATAAACATAGATGGGATTGTGTAGTGTATAATAAGCTGCTGTAAGGCTGTAAACCCTGTGTGTAGCTATGGCTTTAGGTGTCTATCTAACAGAGAGTGCCACCATATGAGCAATACAGATGAGAGAAAGGGAAAAGAAAAGATGAGAATTTGGGCACTGTCAGTCCAAACCTCTTATTTTTATGAAAGGTTCAAAAGTGTTTAGATTTAAAAAAGTGATTTTACCCAGTTATGTTTTCCAATAAATATATTTATTAAGAAAAAATGTGCCCCCCCAATGGTGCCAGTTCTACTTTCACAGCATAGGAAAGGGAAACAATTATTGTGATAGCATTTATCAACAATTGCCTCATTTTCAGCGCAAGCTCTTCAATTTCCACAGCACTCAGTGGTGTTGTGTTTTAATACAAAGTGCCTTTCACCTCAGGAACCCTCAATTCTAAACTGGCTTGTCACAAGTAAAATGAATGGGTGGTCTCAGTTTAGTCTCCAGGGGACAAATGTCCTCCTGACTAAAATAACACCCAATTTGGTACAACTGGCAGTCTGCGCCCTTATTTCACTCCATTGTGGGTTGGTATTATAAAAGAGCTATCAGAACAATGCACGACATTATGCAACACATGCTGCTATCCTGCAGTGTAAGAGAAAGGTTGAAAATAAAGAACATGCATAGACTGGAAATTTTGTTATTTGTGTCATGGTGTCCGTCCTCTGAACGCACACACACACATGCACACGCACACACACACACGCACACACACACACACTTCTCCAAACTAGTTCACAGTCTCATCCAGGGAAACCTGCAGAACCTGCTGCAGCAAAATTAAAAGGTTTATTGCGGTTGAGAATTGATTGCTATGCCTCATATCCTCAGCTGAGGTGGGAGAGGTGATGTTCTATGTTACAACAATTTGAAAAAGGCCCCCAGGGGCCATTGTGCAGCCAATGGACCACTGTAATGCCACAACACTCCAGCCACCCACCCGGTCTCAGGCATGTGTCACACTATGTCAGGGCTGGACATGATGGCACAGGACCAGCTCTGCACCACCTGGAGTCCCTTACACCAAAAAAATCCTCATGTAATGGTGCAGAGTAGCTTTATTGGGGTCAGGAATCTGGGCTTACACCTACATTTCTGCTACCTCGCCTTCAATAATTACAGGCCAAACCTATAGCACCACTGTACACACTAAAACTCTGCCGCTCTAGCAGATCCTGTTAGTGAGTGGCTGCAAGAGGCAGGAGAAGGATTATGTGCAGTAGTTCTATGTTTCGAACACTGGGAGAATAACAATTCTTATGAAAAGATGGTCACTCCCTTAATAAAACAGCTGCTGATCCCCCAAAAGTCAAGGTTACCCTATTACTACATTAATAGGGATAGCTCAGTGGTTTGAGCATTGGCCTGCTAAACCCAGGCTTGAGAGTTCAATCCTTGAGGGGGCCACTTAGGGATCTGGGGCAAAAACAGTACTTGGTCCTGCTAGTGAAGGCAGGGGCTGGACTCAATGACCTTTCGGTGTCCCTTCCAGCTCTATGAGATAGGTGTATCTCCATATATTATATTACCTATCTGCAAAGGGCAGCCCAACTTAAAAGAACTTCATCATTTTTGGTGGGAACACTGCAAAGTTTCACAGTCTAATATGTGGTTCTGAGGGCTGAGAAGGGAAGAACACAAGTCCTGCTTAAATGACAAGTCGCATTATTTAAATAGTGCACTGTACTAGATACTCTTTTGCCTATAAAAGAAAAAATATTGCAGGTAGGGAGAGAAATGTTTATGTTCATGTTTACACTCAGTTACATGCAGGCTAAAAGTATGTGCTCCAGAATTCTTAGTCAAATAGTGCAGAGACTATATAACTCCATGCTCACTCTAGGATTGTAAATCCTAATTTGGTTGAAGACACATCAACGGTTGTGTTTGTGGGGGCATAAGATTCTTCCCTGTGTATCTTCTAAATGGATACTGGCAAACAACAGATTGTAAAAAAGAAAAATTACAAAAGTGTGGTCACTTTCTGATAGTTAATAACTTGATCCAGGAGATAAAATAGGTAATTGTCAGCCACCACACACAAGGGACTACAGGTATCAGATCACAGGTGTCACTTATGCGCCAAAAGGGCTGTTGGAAGCATTATATATAAAGTATACAAAACTTCACTGTGAAGAGGACAGGGTTGCTACATACACTGCATACCTGACACTACCCCACAAAAGCAAGGATATAAGAAGTTGAGCCATTTGGCAATATATACCTTCTCCTCCTTCACCTACAGGCATGTGTCTTAGCATTATCACAACTACCATACACCACAACCTGAACTCTTCCCCCTTCAACCTTCTCTTCTCCACACACCCATTCACCAAACTACCCTCACATAACACAATTAGCTATGGCGGTTTGGTGTAGTGCTGGGATGGGATGGTATAGTTTGGTAAAAAGGAGTGATGAAAGGCTGGTGTCCTTAGGGAACTAAGTAAAGGTTGTAGCATGCAGTAGGAGGTTGTACTGCCTCACCACTGGGGGAATCCTCAGCTGCTGCCCAGTTAAGGAAGCTCGATAGCTACTTTGTACCAATGAAGCAGTAAAAAGGAAGAGTTATCGGTGACTAGGGCCATATCTGCAATACAGCTGCTGCAGCTGTGCTGCTGTAATGCCTCAGTGCAGATGCTTCCTACATCAGTGGAGGGGTTTTTCCATCAATGTAGATAATCCACCTCTCCAAGAGGCGGCAGCTAGGTCAATGCAAGAATTCTTCCATTGACCTAGCTACATCTACGCCAGGGTTAGGTCAACCTAACTTACAGCGCTCAGGGCACAAAATTTTTCACAGCCCTAAGCACAGGTGCTGGACCTAGGGGTGCTGCTGCCGCACCCCGTGGCTTGAAGTGGTTTCCATCATATACAGGGTTTACAGCTTGATTCAATGGCTCTCAGCCACCCCCACTATACAAATTATTCCAGTGCCGCTGGCCCTAAGCAAGGTAGCTAGGCTGATCTAATTTTTAAGTGTAGACCAGGCCTAAGACCTGGCACATAGAATATAGCAGAAATACAGCCACCTCTGGGAGTAAAGCTCTGTGTTCTCTCCCAGTGAAATACAATGCTATAGCTAGAAAAAAATCTCTCTTAAAACCTGTGCATGTAAACAACACAGAACTGGAGGTTAATTACAGTAAAGGATAAAAGAGTAACTTTTTACATGCAGCCTAGCTGTATGTATTTTCAATATGATCGCCTCTTTGAGGGTAAGACATAAGGTTTATTTTATATCAAGAGGCAGAGGGATAAACATGTGCAATGGGGAGAATGAAAAATCTGAAACAGGGCACCTTATTCACAGTGAATCACAGCAGTGCAAAAGAAATAAAATACAAACTTCTCTTAGAACAGATGCTTCTTTGAGCCCCAGACCTTCAAACATCTGGAAATTAAAACAGGAGGGGAAACTGCAGGGTTATACCAAAGGAAGATGATAGGTCTGAACTGCCTGTATGGCAACTCTGAGGTCAACTGTTGATGGATTAGCTGGCAAAGTTATTTTTAAACAACTTTCCCATTAAAAAGGTAGACTGGGTTTCAATTTGTTGATCTGGCTGATAAAGGACCATCTGTGACAGCCAGAAATCTAAGTAAAAGGTTAAGTTTTCAAATCTTTGCAGCCAGAAGGTGGCTTTCGCCTAAGTGAAAACCACCAGCCACAATGAAGGTACAGACTAAGAACTACCAACACCCAGATATCATAGCATGGGAGGGGCTGTCATGAATGCCAAATGTGGTGCTGGTGCAGTTAATTCTTCTTTCACTGCAACTTCAATGACCGAAAATATCATACCAAACAGGCAGTTAAAAAGTGTATTATGTTATTCTGTTTGACAAGATCCCTTAGCTGCATAGCATAAGTGCCAGCCAGCACTCAGGCGCATTATCCTATTTCATATTTATATACTGTTACAAAACACGACAGAGTACCTAGAAGCGTTTTAAGAGCTGTGTGGCCACCGCAAAAAGCGGGGGGGGGGGGGGGGCAGACTTTGATCCAGAAGAGCGCTGTCCCTCTTTGCAAGACACCTCAACTAAATCAAGAACTCAGTCAGTTCTTAAAATAGGCTGCTTTTAAGAGCTGTTTCTGAGGATTGTTTTTAAAATCACAACACTTACTTTATAACCATTTAACACTCCTGTTGTTTTCACTGTTATCACAGTCATTAGTTCAAAAGGCAGCAGGGCAGCGAAAAGAATGTTAGTTGCACAACATGATTTATGTATCAGTCACATACAGCAGCTGGACTAGAGGCTTTCATTTCATCTCTCCTTCCTTAAAGTGCTAGGTATTATTTACTGTTTGAATAGTTCATTCCCTTTTACACACACACGTGAGTGCACACAAGCACACGTCCAGCCTCTGATCTATTAGTACCTGCACAATGTTGTTGCCTGCAAACGTGGCTCGTTTCCATATTCGCCCTCCGGTCAAAGCCTCATTTAACAGCTGAGCCAGTTTCCGCTCCATCTCAGCCTGAAACACTTCCTCCTGAATTCGCTGGTCGACAACACCCAAGAGAACTACAGTTAAAAAAAAAGGCAACCCAAGAACAAACAAATTAGTAAGAAGCATTAGTTCTCAGTGTCTTTTATGCAACTTCAATTGCAGGCCTTGAATCATTCTCTAAAGCCCTCTGCTGGACTATTTAAGCATAGCATTGAAATATTCACACAGGAATCCCTCCCAGCTCAGCTGGAGATTGCAAGTTGCAATGTAAGACTTTGGAAGAAGGGGAATTAAAAGAAAAAAACGCTGAGGTGATTGCTGGAACTTCATGGGGGGTAGCCTGGTCCAGAACAAATGCAGTCGTGGGGCAGCCCTGCCTCCAAAAAAGCTAAATATATGAAAATATTTTATATATCAAAACAAAAGCAGCAGAGAGTAAAGAATTCAAAGTTATAACAAATTCCGATTTACCTGCTTTCAATGTTAACCATACTTTATGTTCACCAGTCACAGAGTCAGGGATAGGCATGGATAGGGGATATAAAAATAGGACAGAAATAGCAGAACAGGTAGGAAACAAAGTAGAAAAGTGTATTGTCACCTGTTTCAGACAGCCCTGAGCCTAAGCCTATGAGAGCACTGGTGCACAGAAACTGGTTAGCATGAGTTAGGGGTCCATTAATGTACAGAAAAGCAGCTGACTCTGTGACTAGCACTAGCCTACTGTACTTAATCACAGGTGCATGGAAAAGGATTTACCTGCTTCTGAAACTTCTAGTGAAGAAGGATGCTGGTCTGACATGCTCAGCAACAGAAATTAATATATCAAAAATATCCCTAACAAACAGAGCTGGTTGAAACATTTTTTTGATGAAAATTTAGAAAATTTTCATGCAAAATTTTCATTTTGGTCAAATTTTTCTTTTTTTTTTTTTGGTTGAAAAAATAGATCAAAAGCTCAGAAATTCAGTTTTCAGAAAAGATTTTGTATTTTTGGCTAAAATTTTATTTTTTCATTTGGTTTTCACTACAAATGCTCGTGTTTCAGTTTTGAATTCTTTTTAAGCCAAAACGATTTTCAAATAGTCAAATATTTTTAGCTTTTTGTTTCAGTTTTTCCATTGAAAAACAAACAAAAAAAATTTTCACAGGAAATTTTAGATTCCCCCCTTCCCACAAAGAAATTTCCCATAAAAAAATAAGTGGTATCTTTCTACTGGCTCTAGTCACAAATGGAGTATCTCAGAATTAAATAGCAAAATAAACGATCAGTGATCAAGAACAATTAAATGCAGGAAACTTGACAAGAGAATTTTTTCACCTTCTTTTAAATTCAAATAGATTGAGAATTACAAATAATAGCAGGAAGTGTATTCCACACCAGAAGGGCATAGTTACAGAAAGCACTAACTCTCACTGTTTTAGGATTATATTCAGGGCAAATTAGATCAGCTGACTTGGACTAGAGCAATTTGCTGGAAACTAATTGAGGAAAAAAATGAAATGGGATGGAGCTGCATCATTACAGTCCCTAAAATTGTTTGGCATCTACTTGTATTCTGTTGCATAGCCTTGTGTGCTTTGGTGTAAGGTCCCATGAATAAATCAAGTATTAAAAGTTAAAAAATATATATCTTAAAAAAAAAAAAAAAAAATCAATGTCCAACTTAAAAGGCAGTTAGTGTATACAGCACCCTCTGTATACCAGAGCTGTGTTCCTGCACTTTGAATAAACTGCATTCTAAATATAAAAATTTTTGAGCCAATAAACAAGGAATTGCAGTTCATTCTACACAAGTGCATTTCCCAGCAGTTCCAGGTTATTCATTCATTTGCTTTGGAGTTTATTCAGATCTGGATATAGTTATTACCTCAAACCGTAAGCAATCTCAAAATTTATTAATGTGTTATCTAGGTCCCGGCTAAAAAAAAAAAAAGGTGTCTCAGCTATCTGTCCTTATATAGTCTACATACCTGTTCTCACCCAGGAAGATTTCATCAATTGAGACACATTGAGTTGAGGGTAATGAAAGGCTGGGGGAGAAAAAAAAAATAGGATGAGGGAAAAAAACATCTGTAAGAACTGTATACTCAATAGCACAAAAACAAGAAAAGAGGCTGTTTCATAATTCACATTAAGTCAATGAACATCTTATTTGCTGATATAACTCTTAGTGTTATACATAAGAGACAGAAAAACATTGCTCTTGATACATATTTTCTGGTTCATATGTCTGAATGAAAAACAGCTGACTAAAGTGGTCAGATTAATTACCTGAAATATTTAACATACCACCCTGACAGCTTTGCTTCTAGAAATAGTAAGCAAAGCCCGTTTGGCTAATTTGTCATTAATGTAAGATGAGATTTTTGAATGCTAAGATCAGGCTGTACACTGGATGACTCATGGTTTCTCAAACTTCATTGCACTGCGACCCCCTTCTGACAACGAAAACTACTACATGACCCCGGGAAAAGGGACCAAAGCCTGAGCCCCACCGCCCCGTACTATGGGGTCAAAGCCCAAGCCCCGCCGCCCTGGGGAGGAGCCAAAGCTTGAGGGCTTCGCCCTGGGCTAGGGAGTTGTAACCTGAGCCCCGCCGCCTGGGGCTGAAGCCGAAGCCTGACCCCTGCCACCCAAATATGAAGCCCTTGGGCTTCAGCTTCAGCCCTGGGTGGTGGGGCTCGGACTTTGGCTTCAGCCCTGGCCCCAACAAGTCTAACGCCAGCCCTGGCGACCCCATTAAAATGGGGTTGTGACCCACTTAGGGGTCCCGACTCACAGTTTGAGAACCGCTGCTCTGGGTGAGTCATTCATGGCTTTTTGAGGAAGAAAGCATCTATTTCTTTGTGACTGCAACCAAGTAGAAAAGTTAAGACTTAAGTATAAAGGAGAAAATTGAATGTACCTATTTTGTATTCCAACCCATAATAAAATAAAATATACATTAAACATTGTGAAGATCAAATTGGATTTATGAAAATCATAAATGAATTCCATGAAAAATCCCATGACATTTTGGTTTTATTTTGTTCAATAGCCCAAGTTTTGTCAAAATGACTAGGCTCCTGGAAACGCTAAGATTCAGGAGTGAAATCCTGGCCTCATTGAAGTTAATGAAAAAACTCCCATCAACGTCAGTGGGGCCAGGATTTCAGCCCAGATTCCCATTGGAGCAAAGTAAAGAGACACTGGTGAACAGATAAAGACAGAGGCTGGGACTAGTTTTCCTGAAAAGAGATTGAAACTTCATGAAAGTAAAGGGGGGGGGGCAGTTTTGTCAAAGTTTTCCCTGAATCATCTGAAGTTCTTAAAGCGCTTAACAAAGATCATTTTTTTAAAACCCATTTTAAGGATGGGGCGAGTGAGGCACACAACATTAAACAGATTTGGCCTAAGATCACAAGGTGAGTCAAAACCAAAAATCAAGATATCCTGACTTCCAGTTCTGTGTTTTAACCACTATCCTATAATTTGTTCAACTCCTGCTATTGTAGGCAGTCAAAGAAACAAAAAAATTATTAACTTTCCAATTTATTTAGTGTGTCTTATTTGCAGACTAGCTAGCTAAGACCTCTTTCTAGGTATACTAAGGTTGTTTCCATAAATATGTTACCTTCCAGAATCTGGTGATTTTTACTATTAAAAACCTGATCACTCTTTTCTCCCCTAACACAAAAGCAGAAGAGCCTCTAGATATATAGCACCTTTTTTTTTTAAACCTCGGTTTTTGACACTGCATTTTCATTCTCTGGAGTGAAATAATTTATTCTTTATTCTCTTCTTGTTTAAATTAAATGGCACTATGCCCAAAAACTGACTTCAAATTCAACATTTTCTGATACAGTTTAGTAGCATCTTGCTTCACAAATAGTGCTATTGAGACTTCAATAGGGCCACTACTATGAAGTACAGTAGTGGTCAATGTGCATAAGGGTATCAGAATATGGCCGTTTATGTATTTGAATGAGATATTACATAATAAATTTCTAAAAATTCCACTTGCAATATATAAACAGGAAGCGCCCCACATTTTTTACATTTATATATTATACAAAAATATATATTGCTGCAGGGTCCTTCTAAACCAAAGGATGAGTGGACATGGCTCAGTATAGCTAGAAGGTTGGAGATTGGTTTACTATGATAATGCACTCATTTACCTCAATCTAAAAATATCATCCTGCAAAAAAAATGTGTAAACTGCAGCTGCACTGGTGTTTTCCAAAGCCCAGGAAAAGCAAGATCACAAGATAATTAACCATCTGCCAATGGCAATAAAATTTTGAACTGTTAGAGTGTTTAATTACTTTCTTTTTTTTAAACAAGGTAACAGTTGTGCTTTGACACTCAATATGATATACCCTTTTTTTCTAATTAGTGCTTGAAAATGATTTAATGTATGCAAATTCCTGTAGCCTAAGAAACTTCACATAGAATTAACTGAACTAAAAACCTAAAAAAAAAAAAATCCTTGAGCATCTGATCTTGATGGTACAGTGAGAGAAGTGCTCTAATCTTTCAGCCGTGCAGTCCTGGGCTGAAAGCTTGGCAAAGAGTGCATGAAAGGATCGGGTACACGTAGGGCAGGTCTACACTTAAAACACTGCACCAGTACAGCTGAGCTTTGTCCAACTCGCCACTGCGTTTCATGCTCAGAAGGAGTTTCACATTGACAATGTTCCCATTGCTACTCAGCCTTTGTAGAGGCCACTTGCTTTTTTGGCATGATCTTGCGGGGAGGGAAAGCTCAGTGGTTTGAGCATTGGCCTACTAAACCCAGGGTTGTGTGTTCAATCCTTCAGGGGGCCACTTAAGGATTCGGGGCAAAATCAGTACTTGGTCCTGCTAGTGAAGGCAGGGGGCTGGACTTGATGACCTTTCAGGGTCCCTTCCAGCTCTATGAGATAGGTATATCTCCATATATTAAGTACCTTATAACCTAACCATGTACTGCGTTAGGACTATCCCGCAAGCATTTGCATTCTGTTTAAGCTTTATGAACTGTCTCCAGTAAAAGGTTTTTATACAGCAGATGATCTAAAATAGACAATGACTGGGCATAACAAATTTCTTTTTCCAGATACAGTTACTCATATTCAGGCTGTCAAAAGTTTAATTTAATCATGCCCAACAGTTTGAGTTATAATATAATATTAGATTTTCCTTAGTTTGAATCAATGTCAACTTGCTCGCAACTAAACTCACCTGGAATTTGCAAATCAATCCTTTACTTGCACATTTTAAACACATTTATATATAAAAAAAATATATATACACAGACAAGACTGATTGGGGGAAAAAAAAAAAAGCCACCGGGAAAAATCTTTGGACTGCATCAAACAACCCTTCATAGTGTAATACTGAAAGTAACTAAGAAGCAAATGGCACAGAAAAGTATGCTAGGCAATATGAGAAATGGGGATGTAAATGCACTTTCCAGAATTAATGAAAAGCTAAATATCCGTGGATTTTGCATCAAAGATGAAGGATTCTGTATAATTTGCTGAACGCATAAGCAGATTTCTGACAAGGGAGGACCTCTTACAAGAAGGGCTATCCTGGGTCAGACCAATAGTCCATCTAGTCCAGTATCCTGTCTTCTGACAGTGGCCATTATTAGGTGTTTCAGAGGGAATGAACAGAACAGGTAATCGTGAAGTGATCCATCCTCTGTCGCCCATTTCCAACATCTTCTGGCAAACAGAGGCTAGGGACACTTTAAAGCAGGGTTTTGCTTCCCTTCCCATCTTAGTTAATAGCCATTGATGGACCTATCGTCCATGAATTTATCTAGTTCTTTTTTTAACCCTGTTACAGTCTTGGCCTTCACAACATCCTCTGGCAAAGAGCTCCAGTGTGAAGAAATACTTTCTTTTGTTTCTTTTCAACCTGCTGCCTATTCATTTCATTTGGTGACCCCTAGTTCTTGTGTGATGAGAAGGAGTAAATAACACTTCCTTATTTACTTTCCCCATATCAGTTATGATTTTATAGACCTCAATCATATCCCCCCTTAGCCATCTCTTTTCCAAGCTGAAAAGTCCCAGTCTTATTAATCTCTTCTCATACAGAAGCTGTTCCATACCGTAATAATTTTTGTTGCCCTTTTCTGTACCTTTTCCAATTCCAATATATCTTTTTTTGAGATGGGGTGACCATATCTGCACGCAGTATTCAAGATGTGGACATACCAGGGATTCATATAGAGGCAATATGATATTTTCTATCATATTATCTATCCCTTTCTTAGTTATTACCAACATTCTGTTAGCTTTTTTGACTCCTGCTGCACATTGAGTGGATGTTTTCAGAGAACTAGCCACAATGACTCCAAGATCTCTTTCTTGAGTGGTAACAGCTAATTTAGACCCCATCATTTTATAAGTATAGTTGGGATTATGTTTTCCAATGTGCATTACTTTGCATTTATCAACATTGTATTTCATCTGCTATTTTGTTGCCCAGTTACCCAGTTTTGTGAGATCCCTTTGTAACTCTTCGCAGTCTGCTTTGGACTTACCTATCTTGAATAGTTTTGTATCATCTGCAAATTTTGCCACCTCGTTATTTCCCATTTTTCCAAATCATTTATTAATATGTTGAACAATACTGGGCCCAGTACAGACCCCTGGGGGACACTACTATTTACCTCTCTCCATTCTGAAAATGGACCATTGATTTCTACCCTTTGTTTCCTTTCAACCAGCAACTGATCCATGAGAGGACCTTCCCTCTTATCCCATGACAGCTTACTTTGCTTAAGAGGGTCCTTGTGGTGAGGGACCTTGTCAAAGGCTTTCTGAAAGTCGAAGTACACTATATGCACTGGATCTCCCTTGTCCACATACTTGTTGACTCCCTCTAAGAATTCTAGTAGATTGGTGAGGCACAATTTCCCTTTACAAAAACCATGTTGACTCTTCCCCGATATACCATGTTTATCTATGTGTCTGATAAGTCTGTTCTTTGCTATAGTTTCAACCAATTTGCCAGGTATTGGAGTTAGACTTACTGGCCTGAAATTCCCAGGATTGACTCTAGAGACTTTTTTTAAAATTTGGTGTTACATTGGTGGGGGGAGGGATAGCTCAGTGGTTTGAGCATTGGGCTGCTAAACCCAGGCTTGTGAGTTCAATCCTTGAGGGAGGCCATTTAGGGAACTGGGGTAAAAATCTGTCTCGGGATTGGTCCTGCTTTGAGCAGGGGGTTGGACTAGATGACTTCCTGAGGTCCCTTCCAACCTTGATATTCTATGATTAGCTATCCACCAGTCATCTGATACAGAGGCAAATTTAAGTAACACATTACACACCACAGTTAGCAATTCTGTAGTTTCATATTTGAGTTCCTTCAGAACTCTTGGGTGAATACCATCTGGTCCTGGTGACTTACTACTGTTTAATCTATCAGTTTGTTTCAAAACCTCCTCTAATGACACCTCAATCTGGGACAATTCCTCAGATCTGTCACCTAAAAAGAACAGCTCAGGCTTGGGAAGCTCCCTCACATCCTCAGCCATGAAGACCAATGCAAAGAATTAACGTAGTTTCTCTGCAATGGCCTTATCCTTGAGTGCTCCTTTAGCATCTCGATTATCTAGTGGCCCCACTGGTTGTTTAGCAGGCTTCCTGATTCTGAAGTACTTAAACATTTTTTTGCTGTTACTTTTTGAGCCTTTGGCTAGCTATTCTTTAACTTCTTTTTTGGCCTTCCAAATTATATTTTTACACTTCACTTGCTAGAGTTTATGCTCCTTTCTATTTACCTTACTAGGAATTAACTTCCACTTTTAAAGGATGCCTTTTTGCCTCTTTCTTTTACTTTGTTGTTTAGCCACATTGGCACTTTTTTGATCCTCTTACTAGGTTTTTTAATTTGGGGTATACATTTAAATTGAGCCTCTATTATGGTGTCATTAAAAAGTTTCCATGCATCTTGCAGGGATTTCACTTTTAATTTCTGTTTAACTAACTTCCTTATTTTAGTGTAGTCTCCTTTTCTGAAATTAAATGTTACTGTGGTGGGCTGCTTTGGTCTCCCCCCTCCCCTGAGAGGGATGTTAAATTTTATTGTGTTATGGTTATACCAAGCAGTTCATCTATATTCATCTCTTGGATCAGATCCTGTGCTCCACTCAGGACTAAATCTAGAATTGCCTCTCCTCTTGCGGGTTCCAGGACTAGCTGCTCCAAGAAGCAGTCATTTAAGGTGTCAGTAAACTTTATCTCTGCATCCTGTCCTGAGGTGACATGTACCCAGTCAAGCAGATTTTTAATTGCAGTGTAGACATACACTGAGGAAGATTGCTCAGAAATGCACGCAAGCTAGGTTTAATATTGTGCTTGCTGAGGGATTCACTGCCAGACCCATAGCTGAGAAAGAATCAGAGGGCATCAGATTTGTGCAGGGTGAAAAGCTTTGCAGTCTCTTTGCTGACACAGCAGACTTGGAACATGGGACAGTTAACGATATCACACAAAGCATAACAACAACTTTAGGAGCCATGGGGATCAAAGCTGAAAAGTTCAAATCAAAACTGGTTGCTGTTTGGACAGAACTGTTTGGACAGAACTGCGGTGAATATGAGCTGTTCAAATCCTGAACCGGCCAAGTTTAGACAAGATATTTCTCATGTTGCTGTGCACAGCATCACCCACATCCTCAATCCTGTTATATTCTGGACTCAAAGCTGATTATGTCTATTTTAAAAAGTCTGAATTTATTTTTAAAGACATCTTCAAATTTGACTACTCCAGTCCCCAAAAGACACTGGCAAATCCAACCCCGTACTGAGGCCTTTGAGGCAAATGTTGTGCTATTTAGCAATAGACATCAAACACAGTGAATTGCTAGTTAGGTCAGATCACTGAAGCCAGTGATATAAAAATATCAACTGGCTGTCCCCCACTTGGAACACACTCCACAAATGGAGTCAAGGGCTGATGCAGCTCAAGTTAGCGCCACTCTTAAAGAATTCAAGACAGGCAAATTTGTGATCACATTGAATTTTATGATTTACTTAACACCGTGACTAAGTCTCTCTTCCTGTGCAAGAGGGGAAAAATCTCTTGGTGTCTGAGCCTTTGCACAGGCTACAGAATTCAATGCTGGAATTCACAGCAATGGAAGGTATCTTGGCCCTTGGGTGACAAATCCTTAGGGATGGCAAATGTGCAGGGGCAAATTCTTCTGTGTCTGAGATAAAGCTGCAGAAAAATCTGATCTGTATGCTCGAATCTGCCATTGTATGTAGGGATACCAGATTCAACAGGCTAAAGCAGTGATCATGCACATGGTTTTGTTGTTCTGACTCTACACAGTGACCTGGTGAAAAAAAGAGAACCATCTACTGGACCACTTTCCACAGGTACTCAGCGAGGAGGAAATGGAGAATGCCCTATATCAGTGTTTCTCAACCTTTTTGCTTTGGACTTAAAAAAAAAAAAATGGTGCCTCCCCCCAACCTTAAGCACGGGGCTCAGAGCTTCAGCAGCCCTGCCTGGGGCTCGGGGCTTCATCCTATGTGGGGCTGAAACATGTAAATTAGCTTCGTGGGGCCCCAGGCAATTGCCCTGCTTCCTACCCCCTAATACTGGCCCTGCTTGAGACCCACCCTAAAATCCTCCCACAAACCCCAGGTCAAGAAACATTGCCCTGCCACATCCGCATTATTATTTTTTATTTGAATTACAGTAGCACCGAGCGGCCCCAATCAGGGAGCAGTCTCATTGTGCTAGCCATTGTACATACACACATGAACGCATGCACAAAGGGTACAGCTATACAGCAAAAAAGACTCGCAGCAGAGAGTCTCAGAGCCCAGGGCAACTGACTGGGGTTCTGAAACTCTCTGTTGCAGGGTATGTTTCCTGGGTAGATGTACCCGATCAGACAGTCCCTGCCCCACAGAGCTGACAAGGCTGTCTTTAAAATTACAAGTACATACCATAAAATCCAAAACAAAGGATAGCACAGTTGGATGTTTTATAAGGTTTTTAACCACCAGGCACCATGCCTTTCAGGATGTATTGCTCTAGGTAGAAATTCTGTTCTCATTTCATTGTCCTGTAGCACTGACGCAACAGGACACGGGTTTCCAGTGACGAAATTAATCAAAACAAACCAGCCCACTAACATATTGTAAAGGATTTGATGCAAATATAAATGAATGGCCCAAGTACAGAAGCTTACCAGCCCCTATTGGTCACCCGCCCCCTGCCTGGGAAGGGTTAAAGCCAGCCCTGCAGAGGGCTGGGGCTGTGGAAGGAAAGACCTGGGCTAATTGGGGGAAGCAGCTGCAGCTGGGCCACGCCCCAATCAGAGCCCAGCTGGCCCTATAAAGGCTTGAGCCAGGAGCAAGGAGACACTCACTCTCTGCATTCAGAGAGAGAAAGGCCTGACTGCAGGGAGCTTGAGACAGGGCACTTGAGTGGAGCAGGGCTGGGGAAAGGCAGAGGAGCTCCAGCCTGGAAAGCCCCAGGCTGTGGCCTAGCATTGGGCCAACAGGTACTGGGGGTTGCAGAGGGCAGCCCAGAGGTAGGCAAAGGCAGCAGGTCCAAACCCAACCTTGCCTGTGATGAGTGGCTGGTACTGCAGTCTGCCCCAGGGAGTGGGGCTAGATGGTGACTGGCAGTAGCCTTACACTGAGGCGAGGTGGGGTTAGTGGGTGGGGGTTCCCCTGGGAGGGGAGACCCAGTGTGTGTGGGTACTGCCAGGGGGCAGCACCCAGAGCAAGGGGCACCAGGGTCCTGGGAGGGACACGGGGCCAGTGACAAGGTGGATCACCGGCCTACAGAGGGTGCTCCAGGCTGGAAATCGAGCTAATTCCCTGAGAGACCAGCAGGAGGCGCCGCAGGGGTGAGTCTGCTCCTCTACATGGACACAGTGACAATGAGCATGTAACAGCAGACTGGACTAATGGAGAACTAATCTAGGATTATTCTGTGTGATCAGATATAGTTTTCAAGCTAGAAAGACATAGTCCATATTATGTAGCTCAATTTGAAATAAATTATGACATACTCTCTGACCTTCTTGACAATCACAGACTTGTTGGGGTACTAGCATTTTAAAATTTGGGTTAAAGGGCATACAAAACTAAGAACTATAGGATTAAGTGAGAGTAAGACATACTAAAACCAAGCAAATGAGTGAAGAGAAATGCTTTCAGACAATTAATGCAGCAACAATAATTCATTGTAATTTATTTGAGAAATTGAGACCACAAGCCCAGAATATGAGAGAATCTCATTGTATTGTCTCACAAACAAAACAGAAGTCTTAGCTGCCTGTGGACAAGTGTTCTGATTTCGTCTCCTCCTCCCCTTGCAAATTACAGATTGAACCAATACTAGAGTTAGTGATTAAGCTCAGCTACTGTTGCACAGGGACAGCTTATGTGACCAAAGGCACTGTTGTACAGATTTGCATAGAAAGACCAAATTAGAAGCTAAGGAAATTAACTAATGTTAACACTTATATGGAACATTACTATGAAACTGTAGAGAACACCACACAAAACCAATCTTCTGCAGCCTTAGTGACATGAAGTACTCACGTTCGGCAATTTGCTGCACAGGAAAGCCCAAGTAGAAACTGAACTCCACCACAGACAGGTTCCTCAGCAGCTCACTGATTTCAGATCCATTCAAGAATCCATATGTATCCTGAATGGCAAAGACAATGTTCACAGGGCCCTGCCGAAATGCCACACGAGGCTTGCTCAGAGTTATATTCAGTATCTGAAAAGACAAAGCTAGAACAGGTCAGGAACAGCAAAAACACCAGCACTTCTGTTCCCTCCCTATCCTGCTTTATATTATTATTTATAAAAAAAAAAAAAAAAAAAGTGGGATGCTTTACAAGATTGTTGAGTAACATCCATTTCAGACTGATTCAGCCACACTGTCTCAACAAGGACATAGAGTTACCTTACACTGTTTCCCTTCCAAGATTTATTCTTTAAATTGTGTTACAATCCATGCTGATGTGAAAGGTGCCATCCAGAAAACGACTGAAGAAAATGTCCAGAGAAAAGTCAAACACAGCAAAACAAAAGCTATCAACAAAAAAAGCCTGTGTGGATACCTTACCTATGTGGAACAGATAGGAAGAGACTCTCAATGTAAGGTAAATGAACACGGTGGAAAGAGAGCTGTCCTGTCAAAATCCACTATGCCCTGCACTACCAGAGCCAAAGATGGGTGGAAACAAAGTCCAATCAGACCTCAAAATGTGCTTCCATAGGTCTTTCCCTGGAACTTCCCCCAGTAGCTATATTATATAATATTTTGCATATATTCTTCACTTTAAAGACATATTCTACTTAAACACAAATAAGTTATTTTATTTTTATGGTGATTAGATACTATTTACTTTGTTTATGAGTTTATACAGCACAATTTTTATTGATTTTAGTTTTAGAACAAAGCTAGAATACATAAACTTTCAGGAAAAAAAGGCAGCATGTCTTATTAATTAGATTTAGAGTTTATAGCCAGTGAGTTTTAAGCCCCTTTATTAGGTACAATATCCAATAAAGACTCCTCACTTTCCAGATCTAAAGTTCAGATAATAGCTACTAAGGGCACATGGCACAGGTGTAAACACTGATGAACCGTGGAACCCAAAAACCTTAAAATCTATTAGTTATCCTCAATATAAACCCACCGTTAGATTACCCATTCAAAATGTGTGATGCAGAGTACAGTGAACTTCTTTTTTCTCAGAGCATGCTAGCATTCTTACCTGCACTGTGAAGTTGTAGATATCCTGGTGATGTTTTCTCACCTCCAGGAATGCCATTGTCAGCCCTTTTTCAATGCGCTGGCTGAAGTTACAGAAGCCAGTATCAACGTTTCGAGGCACAAACTGAAGCACTGGAGGTAAAGGGTATGTGTTATTCCTACTGAGTGCAGTATTTGCACTGAAGGGAGAAAGTGGGGAAGCAGGGAACCCTCCCCCTCCATAAATGAATCAGTTTTCCATTAAATCCCAACTGCACTCATGGCAACTGAAAGTCCAAATAGTGCAGCTCAAGAAATTAATTACTGCAGAAACCGTTCTGTATCGATGCAGAAGGTTTTCTTGTCAATAAAATCTGATGTGACAATAAGGCTCACTTTCTGTCAAGAGATTCTGCAGCCAAAAAAAAAAAAAAATCCACTTCCTATTACAGGCTACTGAAAGATCCCCAGCTGTACACAAACTGTCTCTAATACTGAGTCAGTCATCTGAAGCTCTGGAATCCCTGAATTATCCAAGACTTTTTTATGAAAAATCTTTAAAAAGAAGACCAGCAGCAATCTTCTTTGTAGGCTGATGGCGAAGTCTAGTATAAGTTTGGTTGAAAGACTCCAACTTTGGTCTACCAGGCATCCATTGATACCAGTCTGGCACCTTTCAACAGCACTTAATAAGCATGCATACATTATATATAATGTGTGCGTGCATGTGTGTACACGTGCACACATGCACACACTAATTAAGCACTGGTGAAAGGTGCAACAGCACTTGAAAGTGAAATTCTTAAATATATAATAAGAACTTCACTCTCTAGCGTTGTCATTCTGGCACCTTTCACCAGTGCTTAATTAGCATGCACATTGCTAGTGAAAGGTGTCAGATTGACAGCACCAGTCTCCCACATCATGAATGTAAATCTACATGAATATAAAAAGGTCTTTTTAAAATGAGTTTTAAAATTAAATTATAAGCAAAATAATTAAACATTCTAAACAAAATAAACTTTAAATTAAAAAATAATTTTCAGACATATATGAATAAATAATTAAATATGCCTTAATATTAAAAGCAAAATACTGGAGAACAAAAGACGTTTCTCTTTTATGTACCTGCCAAGACTCTTATTCAGGGTTCTATATTTCCCCTGCAACGGTTTGCAAATGGTAAGTGGTCAGTGAGGATGAAGAAAGATCTGGAGTTTTGCACCATGATAAAACTGTTAACTCTTAAAGCATGGTAAAAAAAAAATGCAAACTCCCTACACTGACTTTGTTAGAGACATCATCAGCTATAACACAAAGTAGAGAGTAGAACAGAACATTGCGTTCACCTCTTGCCAAGTAAAAGTTTTTCAACTAATTAAATAAACAACAGTAATAGCAATATTTTGAATGTATATAGCATTTTCCATCCAAAGAGCTCAAAGCACTTTGTTAATATGCATGAATTAAGCCTCACAAGAGTAAAGCCTAGATCTTTTGATTTCCCATCTTGTATATTAATCACAAGACCATCCTTCTTCCCAGATCAAAGTCTGTTTAAATACTAAGTTATCTATCCCCCTCTCTACAGTGTGAAGCATAGTAACAAGAACTCACCTGTGTGAACTTGGAACCTGGGATCTGGCATGGTGAAAGAAGGCTGTAGTGACAGGATGACAGGGGCCTGACCACGTAGAAGGCTGCTGTTCATAAGCACATTGATGACAGCTATTGCCGTGTAAACAAAAGGACCTGACGTCACCAAGAAAGAGAATTTTGGGGAAATTTTATAAACCTATGAAAAAGAAATTAAATAAAATTATCAGCATCAATATTGGCAACAATACCTCACACCTCTATTTCACAGTCCATCTAATGATCTTGAAGCACTTTACCAACATGGATAAATTAAGCAATGCATTCCTAACAGGTAGGAAAATATCTTAATTTTACAGCTGAGGAAAGAGAAGTACACGAAGTCAGAGAGCTGGGAAAAAACCTTTATCTGGAGACTCCCACTTCAGTGGAGTAATCACAAGAGAATCTTCCCTTTGCTAAGCTGACCCAATTAGAAGTTGTACAGTACAGTGGTTCTCAACCAGGGTTATGTGTACCCCTAGGGGTACGCAGAGATCTTCCAGGGAGTACATCAACTCATCTAGATATTTGCCTAGTTTTACAACAGGCTACGTACTAACTAAGTCATTACAAACTAAAATTTCATACAGACAATGACTTGTTAATACTGCTCTATATATTGTCCATTGAAATGTAAGTACAAATTTATATTCCAATCGATTTATTTTATAATTATATGGTAAAAATGAGAAAGCAAGCAATCTGTCATGAATAGTGTGCTGTGACACTTTTGTATTTTTAGGTTTGATTTTGTAAGTAAGTAGTTTTTAAGTGAGGTGAAACTTGGGGGTAAGCAAGATAAATCAGACTCGTGAAAGGGGTACAGTAATCTGGAAAGGTTGAGAGCCACTGGTTCAGTACATTCATCTTTGCTTTTGCAAAAAGTACGATGGGAATTTAAATGGCCACAAAGTGGTTAAGACTTTAGTTTTATGTATCATCTCTGGCAGCACAATATCTCGCCCTCTACACAATGTTGGAGGGCACTATAGATTCCAAACCAACAACTGGCTACTTATTGGATCACCAGCATGGCTTCTTGCATACTGGACACACATATGGTAGTGTATACATCCCATTGACTCTGTGTGTTTGTGTGTTATGCAGGAAGCAATATACACACAATATAGTTTATAGATCTAATACAATTTTGTGTGTGTACATATACATACACTTTTTTTTTTTCAGAAGACACTCCTCCCCCTTATTTCAGCACAGCTACCACCAATAGGAGCTTCCCACAATTCATATATCTCCTGCTATTCCTTTCAGAAGATAATTCTAGAGTTAAGCCGTCTATTCTGAAGATCTCTAGCCATCACATAACAGATGAGCATCTAAGTAGAGGATTTACTATAAAACCAAGTGAAGGTTTCAAAGCAGGCACTTTTGTATATCCGTACAACATGATCGAAAACAAAAACAAGGTGAAGGATTTAATTTGAGTATTTTACAGTGTTTCTTTCTCCAAGAGGAAGTCTCCCCTAACCCAATCAAACACACCTACTTCCCGGCTGCTTCTTCACACTCCCAGTTCCCTCCATCTACCACACATGATCACATTGTGACACACTTTCTACACAAAAAGCCAAGACCAGAGCCCTAAGACTTCAGGTACACTTCCACATCTTTACAGAGGGAGACACCAGCTCTCTCTAGACCTTGCCCAAATGATGAGAGACCCTGAAGACTCTGAAGCTGAGAATCAGCTTTGTGGAAGAGCACACAGTGCTACCAAATCCTAGCTTATGTGTCTCTTATTGACATCTCTATGGAAGCACAAATTAATAGAAATTAATTTTCAGAGGACACAATAGACAGTTTTTTCTTCTTTTTGATAAACAAAATGAGCAAGATGTATTAAAAAAAAGATTAAAAAAAAAACAGCAAGAAACAACCTCAAGTATCAAGGGAAAAAATACAGTCTCAAGACAGATATATACAGATCTCCCTATATTCTTTGTAATTAGATGCCAAAAGTGTGCTGCCGTCAGGTTTTATTGTAAATGGACCCAGACCTGTAGCATTCAAATTAGTTCAATATAAACAAATACTTCAACCCATTTTGCCTGAAGTTTACCCTTTTATCTCAAGAAAAAATGTTTTCAGCAGCTTCAGTTTGTGAAATGGGGAAGGAATGCCAGAGAAATGTTGTCTATTACCTACAAAAGAAGGCAGGCAAGCAAAACAAGAGGAAACAGAATTTTCAATCCTGCAGCTGCAATTATTTGGCATTTTCTAAAGTAAAACATGCAGAAGGAGAACAGCCCAGCATAGCTTGCACTGATACTGATGTGGTCAGAGAAGAAAAAAATTGTTATCCCCTAAACTCCCTCAAATTTTTCATAAAGTATTTAGTCTGAACAGTCAATACATACCAAATGAGTCCATTTTTGTGCTTCATCATAGCAGGAGGTGGACAATAAATCCAAAAGAAAAATAATTTGAAAGATTTTGAGAAGTGTGAGTTGGAGGAAGGTAGTGAGAGGAGATCCATTACAGGCCCAAGACAAAAGTCTAAGTAGTATGCTTCACCACCACCACCCACCGTACCAAGTGTCCGATAATAAAAAGTATCCCTAGAAAGCATTTGATTTCCCAAAGGTCTCTTACTAAGGCCAGTAGGTGAAAGTGAAATGCAAAGCTTTTTATGTTTTGAATTATTGCGTGTGCGAGGATGTATAGCTTAACATCCTAAAGGCGACATTTTCAAACCATATTTAGGCACCTAAACAAAAACAGCCTAAATTTCAGAAGTGACAAGCACAGATCTCACTGAAATTAATGGGAGGCACAAGAGCACCTCCGAAAAACAAGGCCACTTTTATTTAGATGCCTATCGTTTAGGTGCCTAACTTTAGACAGCCAGGTTTGAAAATTTTGGCCTAAATCACTAACAGGATAAGGAGAAGTCTTAAAATATAAATAAATACTATAATGACCTGACTAATGTGTATTTGTATACTGCCTTCCATAGGATGGAATCAGAACTGATCAACTAGTCTCATAAGCCCTATGCAGCACAGAGTTGACAGATTATCCTGAATTCAGATTGCAAAAGTTGAAAGAAAGCATTTTCAATTCCTGTTTAAGATTAATATTTGTTCATATTTCAGCTGAGCAGCAGTTACATCAAATTGCAGCCAAACATTTTATTTTTGTAAAGGATACCTTGCTACTATGCTAAATTTAACAAAACTGCCTCCTATTTTACTGTGCATCACCCTGTAAAAATGAAACATCTGTAAGCTATAATAGGAGATGTAAAAAAAGAAATTTTGAGAACAAAATGCACTCATTTACCTCAAGTTGTACTATACATAAACCAGTTCATGATACTGTTGCCAAAAAAAAAAAAGAAGTCAGATTTGTTTGCTTGGTTAAGTTAAGCACCAAGGAAGAATCTGTTTAGAAAGCTGCATGACTGCAGTCATTAATACATGTTACTATATTGGACAGCTGTTAATTTTAAAGCCTAACAACCTTGGCATTATTCCATCACTGACATGAAATTTTATTCTGGTAGGCTAGGGAAGCAAGAATGCTTCAGCTTTATGCAGTTAAAAACAGCCACCCCCAATGCGTCACTAAGAGAAAACACATACGATAGTACTCTTCTATTGCAACATAAGCATGACTTATTCTACAGAGATGTTCTCTGCCTTTGATTAGAAAAAAATTGCAAATGATGAACCAAGGCTCGGAAGACTAGCTGCATTATTTATAAGAAGAGCTGACTCCCCGCAGCCTTAGGGCCAATATATCCTATCAGGAGCTCTCCATGGCAATAGTGGACATGAAAGGAATGAATCTGAAAGAGAAAAATCATAAAGGGACAGGATATCAAATGTTTACTCTGGTCATCTTACAAATATTTAGCAATATGTTTGGTTTTATTGCAGTTGACATCACCATGTCAGCAGAAGTTTCTCATATTACTGAAACATACAGGGCCAGTTCTCAGCTAGTGTAAATCAGTGTACGTCCACTGAAGTGAACCTTTGACTTCAATTCAGCCATACAAACTTACACCAGATGACGATATGGCCCATAGTTTGGAATCACTGGATTCGTCTAAATGGAGAAGAGAAAGGACATTTCATTTCAAAATGGTTTATTCTGCAGATCTACTGCAGAAACGCCTATTCTAAACTACACAGACTATTAATATACATAAAATGTAAAGTATATAAACAAATAATAGTAGTTGCCAGTCATAACTATTCACAATTAGCAAAAATAAATAATCCGATTGAAGAGCTTACCAGAAGCCTAGATAGCCACCCTTAACAAACCATACCATATCCCTTTAATTCATATCACTATCCTCCTTGAAAAAGCCCAGGAAGGTAGAGGAGCCTTGTAAAACCAATTGCTTAGGCTAACAGAGGGATTTGAATCCAGGACCTTGACAGTTAAAATGATGAACTTCTACCATTTAAACCATAGGACAAAATAATGTAGCCGAAACACATAAACCTCTTACGTGGACCAGCTACCAGATGGCGACAAAGATCCACATTCTTAAGATAGGTCTTCACTTCAGAGTTAACTCGAGTTACAACATTTGAGTTTCTCCACTTGAGCTAGCTTACCTTGGAGGACAGTAACCACACTGCAAAGGTAACTCTAGCTATACTAGAATTATTGCATGCACGCAGGTGTAAGGTTACCAGATAGCAACTGTGGCAAAAAACAGGACAGGGGGTGGGGGTTAATAGGAGCCTATATAAGAAAAAGTCCCAAAAATGGGACTTTCCCTTTAAAAATGGGAAATCAGGTCACCCTACGCAGGTGCTGTAATGAGCCAAGTGAGGTGTTAGGTCTTCTGGGGAGCAGCTCATGCACACTGTTATGACGGGTTGGATCACAGAAACCCCCTGGGAGCTGCCACCTGATGTGCCAAGACTACTTCTATCCCTGTTTTCCCTGCCAGCTCAGGACTCCAGCACCCTGTCTTGCTGAGCCAGACACTTCCGTCTGCTCCAACAAAGACCCAGAATCTGAATTACTTGCCCCAAAGCTGCAGGTCTACCTGAAAGCAGCTCACAGAAGTGTGCTTGTCTTTAGCACTCAGATGCCCAACTCCCAATGGGGTCTAAACCCAAATAAATCCGTTTTACCCTGTATAAAGCTTATGCAGGGTAAACTGATAAA